ACAGTGTCTCTCCACTAGTCAACATGGCTTTCCGTTCAACCATTGACCCCTTCCTACGCTAAGATACGTATGTTCGTAATGCCTTTACCAATAACCACTCAGTTATTGCCATATTTTTTGACCTTGAGAAGGCATATGACAACTTCTGGGTATAATATTTTGGCCCAAGCCCAGTCCTTAAGTTTCCAGGTTCTAACTGGAAGTGCACTTTCATGGTGTTTTGAGATGGTGGTGTCATGTTAGCTGCTACTGCCTTCTGTAAAAGCACCATGAATCAGGACCAGTTGGGCAAAGATGATGATGTGGATTTGTATCACTGGATGAGCAATGGAAAAAGCTTGCATGGATGCCATTCCTCATCCTTAGAACATCAGTGTCGACATGGTCTCGCAGGTTCTTCTGAAAATAACTTTCCAGTTTGTCGATGATAAAATCTGTTAGCATGCCCTTCTTCAAATCAAACTGCTTTCTTTTCTTTCCTGTTTTCAATTCTTTTTCAGTGTAGTGGGACTTCACTAAATTGGTTAGTCTGTTCTTTAGTCGTTTAGAGTAATGATTTATACATTCCTCTTTTACAACCTGTACACCTTGATAGGGACCTGCACCATTATTGAGTTCAACAAGTCCTTTGTAGGTACTGCTGTCACCATCACACAACAGTTTTTGTACCTCAATTTATTTTCTAGTGATCTCTGCCATATCACTATTGCTGCTTCCACTTCCATCCTTCCAGAAGAACCTGTGAAGTTCTTGCAGCATACACTTTTATGGTTTTCAGTCAATTGTTCATATTGTTCTTCAGAAATTTTCTTGCTTTTCAAATGATACTCGAGGAACATACACAAGAAACAGAACTTACACATTATTTGATAATCAATCAAGTTTTGTAACAGCATCAATTGTAACACCAATGCCACGATTTGAATGATGGCCCCTTTTATGCCATGTTCCATCATATGTGACATCAATATCAAGTACTCCACTTTGGTCTGACACAATGTCTAGTTTACCATATTCCCTAACAATCACCTCTCTTGATTCTGCCATGATCTGCTTGCACGATTGAATGGATGCATCTGTAATGAGTGCCGTATATTTATTAAATGTTTTAAAAGTCAAGGAAGGCAAATTACACACTGCAGTTCAACGGCTAAAGGATGCATATCCACCACCTGTACACATTTCTGCATATAACATCCTTCCGGTTGCAACATTCATATCCTTGCGCACACTTGGTTTCATCACAACACATTATTTTTACACTCAGGAGAGTATGCACTAACAGTTGTCTCTAGGTGGTGATGATTGAATATAAAAACATTATTACTGAAACATTTCAGACAGCACACACATGACAGAATCAAATCAAAATTAGTATTTTCCATAAACACCATAAACTTTTCAGTAACTTCAGGAGTTACTTTCTGAAAGAGCGACACTCGCTTTTTGGCACTGGAAATATTCCGATCACTAACACTTTCGACACCAAATATATCAATGTCAGTCGCATTATCACTTGTAGATGTGCCAGCGACAGCTGAGCTAGTGTCAGCTGAGATGGTGACAGCTGAGCAGGCATCAGCTGACATGTCAACATCTGGGGTGGCCACACGTGGTGTGGCCAAGGAAGGGACGGCCACATCTGGGGTGGCCAAGGAGTGGATAGTCACAGATGCTTTTATGATCCTCTAGCTTGGCAACGTCGGGTGGCCACATCTGGGGTGGCCAAGAAAGGACTGGCCACATCTGGGGTGGCCAAGGAAGGACTGGCCACATCTGGGGTGGCCAAGGATGGGCCAGCCATGTCTGGAGTGGCTAAGGATGGGCCAGCCACGTCTGGAGTGGCTAAGGATGGGCCAGCCACGTCTGGAGTGGCTAAGGATGGGCCAGCCACGTCTGGAGTGGCTAAGGATGGGCCAGCCACATCTGTTATGGCCAAGGAGGGGCTGGCCACACTGGTTCTCTTAAGGAGCTTGATATTTACAAAGAACTAACTGCAGATAAAATGATGAAACGTTGTCTGAAAGGCAGGACACAGAATCCTAATGAAAGGCTCCATCACCGAATTTGGTCCTACTGCAACAAGGCACTGAATCGAAACAAGTGGCAGGCTGATTTCTCAGCCAGTCAAGCCATAGCCGAGTATAATGCTGGATATGAGAGAAGTTGTATCGATATACCACTTGGCTTTGGGCGTTCATTGTTTACCCAAAGGAAGCTTCAAGCTATGGACAAGAGGATGCAGAGAAAAAAAAAAAAATCCAAGAGGAGGAGACTTACGATAGA